TCAAATTTGAAAATCAAAGAATTAAGGGTGAAAAATCTCAATCATATGAATATTCAAGGTACACTCTCCTTACGTATAAAAAAAAAAAAAAAATGCAAAAAAATTTTTTTTTAACCAAAACCGACCGAATCACATGCTACCCATGAATTCTTTAAAGGCATCAATATGAGCTAGTCTATGTAATTGTGAAAATTTTACATGAAACAAAAATACAATTATTATTAATTTTTTTTTTTTTTTGATTAATTATAATATTCGATGCTTTTTTTTTTTTTTTTGTTAATTTTTTTATTCCACGGGATTATTCTTGGCTGCTAGATCGATCAATTCTTGTAAATCTTCTTTGAGCTCTTCATCTGCTGCTGGAGGAACCATGATCATAATTTGTATATGCGAATGCTTTACCACAAATTGTTTTAGAAAACCGCGGAAAGCTTGACTAAGTTCATCAATATCTGTGAAATCCAAAATTATTTTGGGTGATCTTTTAACGGCCAATTCAAGATCTCGAATTATTTCCTCGCAAAGTTCACGAGTGCGAAGGGTGCGTTGGCCGTAAACATTTAAGCTGATCTGGCTAACAAGGAATCGATCATTGCTAAGTTTAGAAGGGTCGGAAAAATGTTTCATGGCTTGACGGTAGTTAAACTCTTGGTCAAGATTAATCGCACCATGGACCATGGTTCCTTTCCACTCGGCAATGCCTCGTACTCGCATTACAGTATCGTCTGATGTGAAAAAAAACAGATGATAAGCGTAAGTTAAGAAAATATTTACATTCCATTAAATAAAATCATACATACCACGTTGTTCATATTCTTGAGGACCAGAAAGAATTTCAAGATGACCTTTGTTCATCTGTGACAATTCGCTAGTAATAAAAAGACCGACACCTTGATGACCTCTGTCTATGCCCTTGGAAGTGAATTGGGGACGTGTTAAATGCAAAGCGCATGCGCGTGCTGCTACATCTTTGGCTTCCGAAACGATAGCTTCGCGAAGGGAGCCTCGAAGGCCAACACCACTATCTGCTACGCAGTAATAAAGCTATGATACATATAAATTAATTTATTATTATTATTATTACTATTATTATAGTTTGAATAATAAAATAAAAAATAATAATTGTGCAATATATACCTTTTTATT